ACACCTGCATGGAGTCAAACCTTCCTGCCTCTCACACCGCCCTGCCTACTTGGATTTATTCCTCCTATGCCATACTTCTCTCGCTCTCTCGCTCTCTCTCTCCCCTCTCCCCCCACTACACACACACACACAGAAGATTAGCTCAAATTTCACCTAGAAATCATCATACATGGAACCACACACTAAGGACATTACATAGGAACACCCGAATCTATGCACTATTTACCCGAGCAGCAGTAAGTGCCAGGAACAGTGTTTAGCACTACGAATAAAAGCCTTTGCCCTCCAGGAACGTACAGATTAGATAAGAACAAATAGGCAGGTGACTTTGGTACAGTGCGCCAGGTACCAGAACAAGGCAAGCGGAGCGCCATGGAGAGGAAACAGAAAGGGCTCACCTAGTGAGGGAAGTGGAGCGAGGATGCCAGACAGGGATGCTGGGAGCCAGGGAACTAAGCACAAACTGATTTTTTTTTTTAATGTGAAGGACTTTGGTCTTCATTGTAACACCAGTGGTTAAACCCCCAATGGCATTGCTCATTCTTTGTGGTTCCCCTGTTTTTACAACAAACACAGAGAAATTCCAGATAAAATATAAAAACAAATCACCAAAATGGCATACCTAGCCCCAAAACATGTTTAACATTTCTATGGATTGGAAATCTAACAGGAACATAAAGTGTGAGGCAAGCTGAAGCCAGGACATCGGCTGGGCTCTGAGGCCCGAAGCAGAAAAAGGCAGCAGGAGGTTGCTCCTATGGGGTAACTGCAAATACAAGGGATCCACGTGAAGGGGGTAAGCTGTCAGGCTTTTCAGTTAAAACCAGGGACAGGCGTGACACTCCTTCGTTATGAAACTAGACTGAAAAAGACTTTTGCTAACTGCACTCAGGCTACAGCTTAGAAAGCTACTGACCTAATGTCAGCTGACTCAGTTACCAAATCTGTGATATCCCCAACGTCACCATGGGGCCCGGGCTCTAGCCCACTAACACAAGACCTGATTCTGATCTGGGAACTCCAAAGCCAGACAAGAACTACTGCAAATCATCTAGACCAGCAAGGAAAATCACAATAAGAGAGAGAGATATGGAGAGAGGAAGAGAACAGGGGGTTAGAGAGATAAAAGAAAAAATTCCCATCAGAAGGTGCTTGTGAAAGTACAGAACACGATAAAAACAACAAGATCAACAACCACAACATAAATTCACTGAAGACAAAATAAAAAATAATCAAGTGATCTGAAAAATAACTTTAAACATGTAAAAGATCCACAAGATAAAGAAATAATAGAACAGGAAATTTTTTAAATAAAAACAAACAGAAATTAGAAAATAACTAGTGGATATAAAAAAGAACCTGTTAAAAATGTTGCAAATGAAATAGAGCCAATGTAATTTACAAACAAAAGTTGTAATGGTTCAGATACTTTTTAGTAGTTGCCTAACAAGTCCCTACAGGGCACCGAGTTCTTAAGGGCAGCTGTGCACATGCCACTGCTAGAGGTTCAAAAAGCAAAGATACATGGGACCTGTCCTCAAAGGACTCGTCTTCTGGAACAGGGATGCTAACAGAACACCAAGATTACAAAGTAGAACAAAATTTTATTCAATTTCAAAACTGTAAACATTTTTAAGTTAAAAGACTTGACATTTATCTCTCTTCGTTTTCATGATCTCCTATTACCACCTTTACTAGAGGTGGTGCTTTGCATTAAACAGTCTCACAAAACTGCATATGAATGGAGCTGAAATAACAAAAGCTGCTTCTTTCTTAATCTATATTTGAATTCATCTAGCAGCTATCCTTGTTTATTCAAAGTACACCACTTAAAAGTCTAGAAAATCAAAGACCACTTCTTGCAAATCTTGGAAAGTACTCAATGATTTCACAATAATAGCAGCTTCATTTTCATTTATCAAATGCCTAATTATTTAAATTGTTTATAATAAAAGCTATTCTGTTCATATTAACCCTCCATCGGGCACAACTTATCTCACAGATTCACTGCATACAAAGATGGTGCTATGAACTACATCTTTAATGTACTAAGTCACAAACACAACTGGCAATAGGTTACGGTAGACGGGAAAGATACGAAAGCAATGAGTCACGATAGTTAACTGCTAGATATTTGAAAATTTGTGTGCAATGAATCTGTGAGATCAGTTGTGTACGATGGAGGGGTAAGGTAAATATAATCAATATGAATAATATGTGACAAGTTTTAAACTCGCTGATGTTATATTCCAATAAGGAAACGCTCACTCCATCCCAAAGTTTTCATAATAAAAAAAACTGTACTTAAAAAGTACATCAAGGGCTGGCCGAGTGGCTCAGTTGGTTAAAAGCTCACTCAAGAGTTTCAGCTCTGAGCAACAGCAGTTCGAGTCCAGCCCGAGCTGAGCAGCCACTGAGCTGCCAATAGGTAGCAGGATGGCTCAGCTAAAAAAAAAAAAAAAAAAAAGTACATCAAAGCAGTCATAGGATTATGATCAAGTAAAATCTTAATTCTTCCTTCACTCTCTGAAAGTAAACAGTTAACAAAACTCCAATTCTCCTGTTCGCAAGCAGGAGTGGATAGAAATGACAGAAAAGATTACATATACAACTGAGAAGATGAAACCTATTGGGTTGTCGGAAAAATCATGACACATGTTTGCAACAGATGGCACTAGTTCATTTTTGGAAGTACTAGAGTCATTCACATCTATGTTATTCTGTGTCATTTGACAACTGACAGTTCAGCTTCATTCTAAAAAAAAAAAATTGAGCGACTTGGTTGAGTTTTGGAGATTTTACAACAAGTTGAAGATGGAAGACCAAACTGTATTTTTGCCATATTTTACTGTTTTACTTCCAGAAAGGGAAGAACGCACGTCAAGCTTCTGAAAAGTTGCATACAGTTTACGGTGACTGCTCTACAAGAACATCAGTGCAAACGATGGTTCATGAAATTCTTTGCTGGTGATTTTGATCTTAACCACGCTCCTCAGTCAGGGAGGCCCACCAAGGTTGATGACGACAAAATAAAGGCATTGATCGAGTCAAACCCACGTTACATGCCACGAGAGATTGCAGGAATATTGAACATCCATCATTCAAGCATTCACGACCAACTGAAGAAGCTGGGATATGTAAGTAAGCTCGATATTTGGGTTCCGCATGAACTCAAAAAAGTTCATTTGATGGCACATATAAACATCTGTAATATGCTCATTATACGTGAGGAAAACGATCCTTTTTTGAAGCGACTAATAACTGGTGATGAGAAGTGGATTGTTGACAATAATATGATGCACAAACAGTCTTGGTTCCAACTTTTGAGGTGATGATTCGCCTCAAATGACATCGAAAGAAGACATTCATCAGAGGAAGATTATGCTCTCAGTGTGGTGGGATTTTAAAGGTGTCGTGTTTTTCATGCTCCTACCAAGGAACCAAACAATCAATGTGAATGTGTACTGTCAGCAACTGGACAGTTTAAATGAATCCATCATCCAGAAACGTCCAGAGCTTGTTAATTGTAAAGGAGTTGTGTTCCATCGTGACAATGCAAGACCACACACTAGTTTATCACCCATCAAAAACTACTGGAGCTTTTTAAGAGCTCACTCAAGAGTGCAAGCTGTGAGCAACAGGGTCGCCGGTTTGATTCCCAGCCCGAGCTGAGAGCAGCAGCTCAGCTGCCAGCAGGTGGCAGGATGGCTCAGCTTAAAAAAAAAAAAAAAAAAAAAAAAAACTACTGGAGCTTGGATGGGATGTGTTGCCACACCCACCATACTCTCCTGACCTTGCGCCGTCAGACTTCCACTTGTTTCACTCTCTTCAAAACTCCTTGCGTGATAGAACATTCAATTCAGATGAGGCTGTAAATCAGCACCTTGTTCAGTTTTTTGCAAATAAAGACAGGTCCTTCTATGAACGAGGAATTATGAAGATCACTGGAAGATGGCAAAAGGTTTTCGAACAAAACAGGCAATATATCATTGATCTTTGTTCTTTATATAAATAAATGACCTTTGAAAAACACAGACAAAATACATCATGACTTTTCAGACAACCCAATATATCAAATTTGGTAAGTCTATAGGATAGATTTGGTTCTTTGTCCTATCACGTGCATTGATAAAGAGAATTTTCTGTTTTCTGTTTTTGCTTAAACATATGTTATACAATGATCAAATATCACATAATAAAACCTCTGCTAATTATGGTCAACTGCAATTTTCCCCCTTCATACTTCTAATGAGTCATGTTCCAATGGCTACTCAATAGAAAATTTTAGATAACAGAACTATAAATCAGCCAAGAAACTAATGACACAGATACATACACACATACAGACACAGGCGCGCACACACCTAACTTCTTAGAATAAACCAAACACCAAAAAGTATCCCCTTGGGGCCAGCTGAGTGGCTCAGTTGGTTAAGAGCGCGAGCTCTGAACAACAAGGTCGCCGGTTTGATTCCCCATGGGCCAGTGAGCTGCGCCTGAGCTGAGCTGCCGCTGAGCTGCCAACAGGTGGCACGATGGCTCAGCTGGTGAGAGCACATGATCCTAACCAACAGGTTGCCGGTTTAACTCCCGCATGGGATGGTGGGCTACACCCATCCGCAACTAAGATTGAACTTGACACCTTCAGCTGAGTGGCCAGGAGCTGCTGACGGGCGGCCGGATGGCGACTGGACTTGGAGCTGAGCTAGCTGCGCCCTCCATAACTAAGACTGAAGGACAACAACTTGGCTGTTGCCCTTCCCCAAATCCCCAACACTGTTCCCCTTCCACAATTCCCCAATAAAAATTTGAAAAAGAAAAAAAAAGTATCCCCTTGTTTAAAGCGATATGTACACAGTACTGGGCTGAACCAACCAGATTATCCAATCTCTGATGAAGTGACATAATTCCAACTTGTCCAGTAACAATTTTTTTTCTTTTTTTAAGTACAACACTGCAAATGCTCCCAAGATCACTGAAATGACACAAAGGACACTTACTCATGACTGGAAATGTCTCTGTATGTTGTCCCAATCGGATATTAAACCAAAATCTGCTGTCCAAGGATTCTCAGAGGAATACATGTCCTAGTCAGAAAACAAAGAAAAAGAAATCATATTTTCTAAAGACATTTAAAATTAAGTTTTCTAAGAGGAAATGAAAATAATTCAGTTTAAAATTTTTCTATTTCCAAAAGAATGCTTGGCGTCATCTAAGTATAAAAAAATTACCAATCTTTAGAACATCACGATTCCATTCATATTTTCCTTTTTCTGTAAGAAGTTACCTCAAAAGTAAATAAGATGTACAAAGCAACAGAAACTTATTAAGGTGCCCTTTGTCTTCAGTTACTAAAAATTTATTCTAGCCCTCATTCCCAAATAAAGAAATCACAGAAAGAAGGCACACCACCCAGGGAAAATATAGCACATCACACCTGCTAAGTTTATTTTGATTGCAGATAAATTATTTATATAAGTCATCAAATAAAGATCACCAAAGTTATTGCTATAGACTTTCTCTGATGGGCATTTTCCTCACAATAAAAGTAATGTAGTTTCCTTTTTTAAAAAAATTGAAAACAGCAGCAAATAGAAGAAAAATTCTCTCACAACACCATGCCACCACGTTTCCTTTCAAGGAATTTTTTGTAAGTATTTTACAGACATACTTTATAAATACTACATACAAAATTTTGCATTTGGTTCTTTTCACTTAAGTATAACAAAGTATTACCTTGTATAAGTATAAATACAAACCTAACCCTTTGCTAAGATTTACATTATAAATCTTCTCTTCATTAATACATTTTTTAAATGAGGCATAAATACTAATGCTGCACTTAAATATAACCATGGATGCATAAATACATCCCCAAATCTAATATATGAAATCCCACAGTTAAGATCAGATTCGCCACAAAATTTACACTTGTGCTACCTCATGTGTATCTTCCTTCACAAACTGATAAGCTACTTCTTGCAATCACAAGAAATGCTGGTTACTTTATTTTTTAAATCAATTAAGAAAACAGCATAATACCAAGGACCTCTGCTTCGAAAACAGATTAAAGTTACAGTATCATTTTTTAAAGAAACAATGCTTGCCACATCTATATACTTTACTCATATCATGTAATAGACGTGAGAAGTATAAATCTACAAGGTGAAATTTCTGGGCCGGCTGAGTGGCGCATTGGTTAGGAGTTGACTTGGGACTCCAGCTCTGAGCAGCAGGGCCCCGGTTCGGATCCCACATGAGGGCCAGTGATGCTGCGCCCTCTACAGCTAAGATGGTGAACAGCTCGACCTGGATCTGGGATGCCATCAGTCACCGGCGACGACGTAGGCTGCAGTGGGGCTGGCCGGCAGCTGGTGTGAGTTGGTGTGAGCTGCCGTGAGCAGCCGTCCAGTGGCCAGCGACTGATCTGCCTCAGCCAGGAAGAGCGCAATGATAATACCAGCATGGGCCAGTGAAGCAACGTCCTCCACAACTAGACTGAAGAATAAAAGGACAGGACCTTGTCTGTTTCCCTTCCCCGATTCCCCAATGCTGTTCCTCTCCCCCAGTTCCCCCAATAAAATCTGTAAAAAAAAAAAATTCTGTATGCATAGCACGGCCCAGACGCTGTAATTAGCAGTGGCATATGATCACAGTGCTGCCATGAAATCACCTGACCCCCATCCCACATACTCTCTTCTTTATCTATGCAGTAGATGCTATTAACTGATTTTCATCTCCATATAAGCTAATTATCCCAAAGGAAGTAAGAAGTTAAATGGAAAAATCAAAAACGTGTTATCTACATGTTAGTTTTAAAATACATGATCAAAGTTCCCACTACAAATATACTTTCTGGATGGTGAGTCTATTAGGTTTGTTCGCCCGCCCTGGGAACTCCAAGGTTGAACGTGCTGGCTTCCGAGCTTGCTAAGGATACATGGGAAGGCAATCCTGTTACAAAGACACAAAGTAGATTAAATGTTCACAGACAGCCCAGGAGTTCGTTCACTTACACTTGTACAGTCTAGTCTCTTTGCCCACGGACTTTTCTCACAAACACTGGATTTATAACCTCACCATCTGAGGTGATAAATGTATTTTACAAATATGCAACCATGCACAAGTTGGTATTAATGTAAAATGTCATGGAGTGATTCTTAGAAACGTATTTTAAAATTTCTTATAACTGAAGTCCCTTGTTCAGGAATCTTCATGATAATCACAGCTTTAAAGTGTAGAGCCTTCCATCTATTGTCACAGGTAGTCAACCAGTTCTTCTAAGCAACTAGGCAGCTCAGTGGTGCGTAAGACAAAATTTTCACACTCCCTTTCTCCACTCCTATCCCTTCCCACTGGACAAACAAGGAAGAAGAAAGATCTGACTTTCTGTTTTTCAAACACCATCTAAGAGGGAAAAAGGACGTTGTCTTAAATCCACAATTTCACATAAAAGGCATACTGGGGTATTTCTGCAAAATCTGGCCTTTCAACTCATTTTCCAGGAACTCGAGCCACTGCTGTTTACTCTCATTCTTATATTTTTATTCTTTTATAAACTCTAATATGGGTTCTTTCAAGTGACTCCTCCAAGTTCTGTGGCCAAACTTGATATGCCGGAATGGTAAGGCTGCAGCAAGCCTAAGGATAACCCAAACTGACAGGGAACTCGGGGGTTTAGTTAAAAGGAAAACGAGCTCTACCATATCCTTTTCTTTACTGCAGCCACTAAACATGGCCTAAAAATAACTCCTGCCACTTTTAGATACTTAAAACCTATGAAAACATCTAAAAGAATTTCTGGTTTTTATAACACCAAATAATTTATGCTAGAACTAATTCAGCACACCCAGTTTCAATTATTTTAAAATTTAAATTTAACAGCATTATAAACCACAACGTATAGTATCAACACATATCCATGAATGCATAAACTCTATGGTTTCTAATAATATTCTTCCCGGAGACCAAATTAACGTTAACTTATTTCATTGTACAATAACTTCTCCTATGGAAAAAAATACACAAAGAACCCCAATCTCCACTAACAACCGATATGATCTCTATTTTTTCTACTCTTATCACAAATTATACTTTTAAAAAATCAAATGTAATCTTGATGACACAATGCTAAGTGAAATGAGCCAGTCATAATAGGACAAATGCTCTCTGATTCCACTTACATGCAGTACCTGGAGAAAAATCATAAGGGCAGACAGTAGAAGGGGGGAGGGGAGGGGGTGACAGGGTACGGGAAGGGGGAAGGGGAAGCTCATGGTTAATGGGTGCAGAGTTTCAGTCTGGGAAGATGAAAAAAGTTTTGGAGATGGATGCTGGTGGATATACATCAGTGTGAATGTACTTAATGCCACTGAGCTGTACACTTAAAAATGGTTAAGAGAGTAAATCTTAGGTATATTTTACCACAATTAAAAAAAAAAATTTTATAAACAGAATCAAATTTACCTCTGGTTCCAAAAGAGTAAGTGAATCCTAAAGTGACAGAAATGTATTACAAAGAATCAAGACATTTTTATTAGTATTTTAATCTTTTAGCATCCTTAAATTCTTTGTAGAATTAGAAGGAAAACAAAGTAATTATTTAATTGTTTCTCCTCATCTTTAACTTCTTGGTCAATTTCTACGTGAAGACCTTCTAGCACTCCGCTGTGAACTTTCCAATTTTTATCATTCACGATAACTACTTCTCCAACTAAAACTAAAGCTGTCAGGGATTTTTGTTTCTGAGGATCAAAAGGTTTGTGAACCATCTTGCTACATGACACCTAAAAATGCTTGATAAAATACAAGAATTATCCTTTTAAATGCACAGCAAAGCTCACAGGAAACTGAGTGAAATCAATCCTCAGAGATGAAAACCAGGAGCAGGAGCAGAGAGAAGGGTAAGGAGGCATGGATGCCAGCAATTGCCCAGAGACATCTGACAATCTCCCATAACCAAATTACCAAGTCAAATACTGTAGCCATTAGCCACATGGAGCTATTTAAATTTAAATTAATTAAAATGATGAAAATTTAAAATTAAGTTCCTCTTTCGCATTAGCCACGTTTCAAATGTGGCTACTGGTTGTTGGATTAGCACAGATAAATAATATTTCCATCATTACAGAAAATGCTATTAGAGAATGCGGAAGAGCTTTCAATATTAACAGTCATGCACGGGGCAAAGCCAAAGCTTCATGCTATTATATAATATGGGAAGTCAGGCACACAGATAAGCACAGAAAGCCTGGCACCTGAAGGACTAGATCCTCAATAAAAAGAATAAACTGAAAAAGAATACCCCAAAGGGAGACTAAGGAAAATTCTCCCGAGTCTAGGTTTGAGTTTTGGCAAGGGAAAGTTGTGTTCCCTGGAAATCTGTAACCAAACCAACCTTCACGCCAGCTTCAAGCTCAAATCCAAACTACTTGTATGTTGTGAAAATTTTCAAACCTACCAATTAAGTGGCCCTGGGTTAACAATCTTTTTTTTTTTTTTTTTAAAGATTTTTATTGGGGAATTGGGGGATGGGAACAGCGCTGAGGAATTGGGGGAAGGGGAACAGACAAGTTGCTGTCCTTTTTGTTCTTCAGTCTAGTTGTGGAGGACGTTGCCCCACTGGCCCAAGTTGGCACCATCATTGCGCTCTTCCCAGGCGAGGCAGATCAGCTGCTGGCCTCTGGACCGGTCGCTCACTGCGGCTACTGGCCGCTCACACTGGCTGCTGGCTACACATGGTAGCCCATGGCAACCCACTGCAGCAGGGACTGCAGCCTATGCCGTCACTGGCAACTCACGGCAACCCAGCTCCAGGTTGAGCTGTTGTTCAGCAACTCAGCTGTAGAGGGCAGTGTCACTGGCCCTCATATGTGGGATCCGAACCGGGGCCCTCTGGCGTCCCAAGCCAGCTCTTAACCAACGTGCCACTCGGCCGGCCCTGGGTTAACAATCTTGAACTCTAAATCCCATCTGGGAGAAAGCAGTCTTAACTCAGGTCTCATAAGAATTTCCAGATTAAGTTACAATAAAAATGAGCTCAAAATTTAAAACTATGCATAAGTAAGATCCAACGGAAATCAGTAGT